GGTTTTTGTGATCTGGATAATGTTTGGTTTCCCGAGAAAATGCCTGGAGAAAATCGATACGATCCTTGAGTTTAGGAAATTTCGCCATTGTTGATTACTATTTTTCTTATTTATTTTGAAAAATCAAACAAATCGTCTTTTGTAGCTCTTTTCTTCATCTTCCCCTGTTTGTTTTCCGATCAGCCTAAAACCAAAGCATTTTATAAAAGGGAGGAAGAAGATCCAAAACCAAAATAATCCTTCTAATTTTATCTTCTGATATTGTGAAACTAATCCCCCTTTTTCCCTTCTTCTTCCTTGTGGACCTATAAACTTTTTATTTTGCTAATTCAAACCCTTGAGATATATAATTTTTTCCTTAATTAACAGTCAACCAATTACAAAGTGACGCGTAATTTAGGGTTCAGTGGAATATTGAATATTTCCATGACGAAATTGGAATTACGATAACAATGTGTAACGGAGGAGTTATTAATATTTAATTACGGGCTTACGGCTATTTAATTTGCCAGCATAACTCAGAGAATGAAATAAAAACTTTGGTCATGCTTTCGTCTTCTCAACTAAACCAAACCAACCAATTTACCTTAGCGTCTCATCGTTACAGGTTATTTTATTCTAAGATCAATGATAGTAATTAATAAATCCATGTTAACTAATTACATGTAGTTGTTGACTTTTGGGTACTGTGTTTCTTTTTGACTTGTTGTGCAATTACCTTAGCTTTTAAGAAGTTGCTAGGAAATTTCGTGGAGAGGAATCCATACCAATTCTGAAACTGACATCAAACTTTATTTGCCCACTTGCGTGAATTAAATAAAGAAGCAGTTTTGGGAATCTTTTGAATTTGAGTCCTTTGGTCTTTTTTTTCCTCTGTTTTGGTCATCTTTCTTTGTCTATTGAAGTTGGAATGTTGACAGTTTTTTTTTTTTAACCAAACCATTGAAATTGCTTGACTATTATCATTGACAAATGACCGACCATTGAACAAACTAAAATCAAATCTTTGCAGTGATATTCAGTGTCGTTAAGTTTTAGCTTCAATGGCAAAGACATTTTTTGATTATGTTATCTCCGGTTGTATGTTGTTGAATGTTTTGATGCTGTTATTGTAGTGACCAATGATTTAGTTGTTGTAGTGTTCTTCTATATAAGCTCACTTTTTTTTTCTTTTAATCATAACCAGGAAAAGATACGGGTTGCCTTCTACGTTCAAAAGGCAGCTCTTCAGTTCATTGATGGTAAGATATGCATTGTTGAGTTTCAGAGATGCATGATATAAAGAATTTGGTGGCTGACAGGGTTTATGTGATTGATTTTGTAACTTTGTTTTTCTTTTCATTTGTGTGTTTCTTTCAGCTGGTGCCCACCGTGAATATAAACTCACTGATGAGGTCAAACAAGCTGGATTCCATGTGGAACCAGATGAACTTGCATCTATGGTTCGAAATCACAACACAAGGAGCTTGACTAACAGTGGTGGCGCTGAAGGAATTGCTCAGAAACTGTCCGTATCTCTCACTGAAGGTGTCCGTTCGAGTGAACTACACATCAGAGAAAAAATCTATGGAGCAAATCGTTATGCTGAGAAGCCAGCCAGATCATTTTTAATGTTTGTTTGGGAAGCGCTTCAAGACGTAACCCTTATAATCCTTATGGTCTGCGCTGTAGTATCGATTGGAGTGGGAGTTGCCACAGAAGGATTTCCAAAGGGAATGTATGATGGGACGGGGATATTGCTAAGTATAATCTTGGTGGTCATGGTTACTGCAATCAGTGACTACAAGCAATCTTTGCAGTTCAGAGATTTGGATCGCGAGAAGAAGAAAATTAACATTCAAGTCACCAGGGATGGGAATAGACAACATGTCTCCATCGATGACTTGGTTGTTGGGGATGTGGTTCATTTGTCTATTGGGGATCGAGTCTCAGCTGATGGGATCTTTATATCCGGATACAATCTGGAGATAGACGAGTCAAGCCTATCCGGCGAGAGTGAGCCATCACACGTGAATAAAGAGAAGCCGTTTCTGCTTTCAGGAACCAAAGTCCAAAACGGCTCTGCGAAAATGCTGGTGACAACCGTTGGTATGAGGACTGAGTGGGGAAAGTTGATGGAAACTCTAAGTGAGGGTGGAGAGGATGAGACCCCTCTGCAGGTGAAGCTAAACGGGGTTGCTACAATCATTGGTAAGATTGGTTTAGGCTTTGCAGTGCTTACGTTTGTGGTGTTGTGCATAAGGTTTGTTGTGGACAAAGCCACTTCTGGTAGTATCGCACAGTGGTCTTCCGAAGATGCACTGGTACTGCTTGACTACTTTGCGATTGCTGTAACCATCATTGTTGTTGCTGTACCCGAAGGGTTACCTTTGGCTGTGACCTTGAGTCTGGCATTTGCTATGAAGCAGTTAATGAGGGACAGGGCACTTGTGAGGCATCTGGCTGCTTGTGAGACGATGGGTTCTTCTACCAGCATTTGCACGGATAAGACAGGGACCTTAACTACTAACCACATGGTAGTCAACAAAGTTTGGATATGTGAAAATATCAAGGAGAGGCAGGAGGAAAACTTCCAGTTGAACCTATCCGAACAAGTTAAGAATATCCTTATACAGGCCATATTTCAGAACACTGGTTCTGAAGTCGTCAAGGATAAGGAAGGAAAAACTCAGATCCTGGGTTCACCTACAGAAACGGCGATACTGGAATTTGGTTTGCTTTTGGGCGGTGACGTTGAAACGCAACGCCGAGAACATAAGATACTTAAGATCGAGCCTTTCAACTCAGACAAGAAGAAAATGTCTGTTCTTACTTCTCATTCTGGTGGGAGTGTACGAGCTTTCTGCAAAGGTGCATCTGAAATTGTCCTCAAAATGTGCGAAAAGGTTGTGGATTCTAATGGAGACTCTGTTCCTTTATCTGAAGAAAAGATTGCAAAAGTCTCTGAAGTCATAGAAGGCTTTGCTTCAGAGGCTCTGAGGACTCTCTGCTTGGTTTACACGGATCTTGATGAGTCTCCCAGTGGGGATCTTCCTGATGGTGGCTACACATTGGTCGCAGTTGTTGGAATCAAGGATCCAGTTCGCCCCGGTGTTAGAGAAGCCGTTAAGACTTGTCAAGCTGCTGGAATCACTGTTCGTATGGTCACTGGTGACAACCTAAGCACGGCCAAGGCTATTGCAAAGGAATGTGGAATACTTACCGCAGGTGGTGTAGCTATAGAAGGTTCATATTTCCGTGATTTGCCTCCACATGAAATGAGGGACATTTTACCCAAAATTCAGGTTCTGATTTAGATTAGTAGAATGGATTGTTAATCCTCTCATCTGTCTCTTGAAACGTTTAGAGAGCATCTTCAAATATCCTTTTTTTTTCTCTCTAACTTTAGGTGATGGCTCGGTCTTTGCCCTTGGACAAACATACACTTGTCAACAATTTGAGGAAAATTGGAGAGGTGGTTGCAGTGACTGGAGATGGAACAAATGATGCTCCTGCATTGCATGAGTCTGACATTGGACTTGCCATGGGAATAGCTGGAACAGAGGTTAGCCTTTGGTTCTTCTCTGTTACTGATTTGTTATATCATTGGCAAATAGATAACTATGAATGTTCCATATATTTGAATGTGCTCTACGTTTAAACTCCCGAGTATACTAAACGCAGGTTGCGAAAGAGAATGCTGATGTAATCATAATGGACGACAACTTTGCAACGATAGTGAATGTGGCGAGATGGGGACGTGCTGTGTATATCAACATCCAGAAGTTTGTTCAGTTCCAGTTAACTGTTAATGTTGTTGCTCTAATCATCAACTTCGTCTCTGCTTGCATCACAGGTAAAAAGCAAACACACAATCAAATTTTGTCACCATTGATTGTTTGTTTGTTGGTCTGATCATCAACATTGTCTCTCGTTCTTTCAGGATCTGCACCACTCACCGCGGTGCAGTTGCTTTGGGTCAACATGATCATGGACACACTCGGTGCACTGGCTCTAGCGACCGAACCACCAAACGAAGGTTTAATGAAACGTCAACCAATCGGTAGAACCGCAAGCTTCATAACGAGAGCAATGTGGAGAAACATCATTGGTCAAAGCATTTATCAGTTAATCGTCCTCGGTATTCTCAACTTTGCTGGTAAACAAATACTAAACCTCAACGGACCAGACTCAACCGCCGTTCTCAACACCATCATCTTCAACTCCTTCGTCTTTTGCCAGGTAAAAATAACAACAACAACATTCTTGTTTTGGTTTCTGATTATAAACAAAGACTAATCAAAATGCTTTGCACAAAACAGGTGTTTAACGAGGTAAACAGTAGAGAGATAGAGAAGATAAACGTGTTTAAAGGAATGTTCAAGAGCTGGGTGTTTGTAGCGGTAATGATTGCAACAGTTGGATTCCAAGTGATCATTGTTGAGTTCCTTGGAGCATTTGCAAGCACTGTTCCTTTGAGCTGGCAACATTGGCTTCTCTGCATTTTGATTGGTTCATTAAGCATGATTCTAGCCGTTGGTCTTAAATGCATACCGGTTGAGTCGAACCGTCATCACGATGGCTACGAGTTGCTTCCTTCTGGTCCTTCTGACTCTGCCTGACCTGACCCACAGTTGCTACGTCATTTTTCTATATTTGATTTGATTTTTTTTTTTTTTGGTTTTATAATTTCCGGGATAGTGATCTGATTTCAATATGTATAAAATCTAACACGTCTTGCGTTACCCGG